ACATGGTAGAATAGAAACCTAGGGAAGGCTGCTCAAAGCAAGGACAAACTCCCTGCCCACAGAACTTCTGAAACCTGTGATGAGATCCTCCAAGTGGAGATTCAGCTAGGGCCCTCACTACCAATCTCGCCCAAGGTAACTTCAAGGGCAAAGCCCAGAACATACTTTAGGAAATCCTCCTGTCAAGGCTGCCAGGGAAAAGCTGGTCTGGGTAAACAGCATCCTGGCTAGAAGACCACAACATCCAGGGCTTGGTAAGGGGGAGGGTGGCTAAGTCTGGGAGCTCTGACATAGGCTACCATGAATGGAATCTGCCCCTCTTCAAGGACATATTGTTGAACAGCTACATCTCCAGCTGACTGTTACAATGTCTCCCTCTGCCAGACCTACATCTTTGAGACCAATACTATCCATCAGTGCCTACCCATGACAGCCTGCCCCATCATCAATGACACAGCCATACTGTCAAGGCACCCTCCATAGACCCTTCTTCAGCTACCAGATCCCTAACCTGCAGTGACCCAGAGCCTGGAGCCCCAATCTCACTGTGACTTTGGCTCTAGGTCTATGGCTCCTTTGGCTCCAGGTCTATGCCCTTCTGCAGCTATCATTTAACAAATCAGGGGAAAAAATCATAAACAAAAATAGCTTCTCACTTGGTAGAACTGTAGCAGCTCTCACCGCCAAAGGGCCTCCTAGTGCCTGGTGTTTGTCGGTCATTACGTACACAGTGAGCTCCTCTGACCGATGAGGAAATAAGGCTAGACCTTACTGTCAGACAAAGATACCCTCCTGAGTGAAAGTGGCACCCTTTATTCTGGGTCTATTAACTGTGGAGTCTAAAGTATCCACCAAGAATAAATTAAATAAACAAACAAACAAACATCATAGCCAGGAGCTAGAGAGATGGCTTAGTAGTTAAGAGCACTTACTGCTCTTGTAGAAGACCAGATTTGGTTTCTACAACCACCTGAATGTCCAATCTCAGAGGTTCCAATACCTCTAACCTCCACAGGCTTCTTCGTACATACACTCGGGCACATACACATAAAACAAAATAAATGTTGGCTTGTTTGTTTGTTTGTTTGTTTGTTTGTTTGTTTTTAAGTGCACAATGAGAACAAGCTTTCTGGACAAGGCCAGGTCAGGTCAGGTACCCCATGACTGGGGCCTGAGAACTTCTCTCTGGCCACCCCAAGTGATCTGACCACAAAAGAATATGTGAAGGTCATTGGCCCTGGAAGTTGCCAGGTCAAGAGGAAACCAGGCACTGGGGACAATCTGGAATTGAGAGTTCCAGGGTGCTGAAGCCGCAGCCCTGATTGAATGCACCAGACCAGACCCTTGGCAATTACCAAGCCATAATAGGATCTGATATTTATATTAGTCACGAGCTTGTCAGAGAAAATGTGTTGTTTTCTCAGACATAGTCATGGAGACAACACCTCAATAATTCACAACAGGCAGACCATCCTTGATCAAACCCTTGACTTGAGATTATCAGTGAATCTATGCCTGGCCAAATGCAGGTCCTACAGCAAACCAGAGATCCACCCACAAGTGGCCTGTTTCTCCACACTTTTAAAGATAAATAGACCATATGCTAGAAGATGAACAAGTCAAGAGAACAAAGATGTGTAAGTGGTCAGCAGTTGAATTGCAAAGGGCTCTGGAGCTTTCCCCACAGTACCTTGCTCCTTCCATTCTCCTGTGTGGGACCCCAAAGAGGGGAGCAGATTAGAATTCATGGATTTCAACCCTCAAATTTCACAGGGATTAGAGAAGTTAAATGGTTAATCTAGGCTGCCTGGATAGCTAGCTCTCTTGCTCAACTACAATCTAGTACTGGGTTGAACCTCAAAAACGTCATGGCAAAATGATTAGGACATGCTGGTGGAACCCGGGGTGCTAGAGAGAAGCAATACCATGAAAAGGCTCAGAAAAGTATGGTGCTGGAAAGACTGTGTCCACCTTTGAAACATGGTGGGAGGTGGTGAGGTTTGCTGCTATTATTTTGTTCCACTCTTTGGCTATTCGAGACAAGATATGGCTATAGGGTCCAAGCTGACTTAAAACTCATGATCCTCCTTCTTCTGTCCTCAATGAAGAGAATTACAGGAATGTGCTATCACATCAGCAAAAAAAAAAAAAAAAAAAAAAAAAAAAAATGTGTTTCCTTACTTCCCCACCTCCCCACAAAAGTCTACAATCTATTTTCTTTAATGATGAGCCATTAACTATAGGCTATTTGGAGGTCAAAGGTGCAAATGATTGGAGGCCCCAAGATGTATGTCCACAGTCTTGGGCTCCTTTCAACAAAAACCGTGATGAAGGCCTGGAGAACTAATGCATAGGATTCCAAGCTCCTGCTGAAATAAATCTCCCTGGGAATTTCAGGTGCTAAGAAGACATCTTCCCTAGAGCTCTAGCTCTTAGAAAACCATGCTGGATCTGGATAATGGTGGGGGTGGACAAATAGGCCTGAGGGTGAGTGAAAGTTTCTGTGGAAAAGCATCAAAGGTTTGCTTGGGGAGACTAACAGTACAATTGTTTTAAACTTGAGCTGAATTCCGTATTCTGCACCAAGTCTTGACAAGACAATCAAATACTTGGAAAGCAAAGAGGGGGGGAAAATGATTGCAAACTGAATGAAGAGCCCCAAAAGATAGGAAGAAAGGCTTCTAAGATGCCTCCCTTAACATTGTTAGTACAGTGAGTTGAGTACACACAATTTAATTGAACAAATCAAGAGGAAGGTATTAAGAGATCTGGGCAGGATTCTAAAAGAACTCATGATATCAAAAACAATTTGATGCTATTCTGTTTGGGCCTTCAATCTCTCCAGTAAATCACAATTATCTCTCATTCAAGATTGAGTCTGTATAGAAACTCTCAATCATGTGCACTTAATTGGTCTTGAGGCTAAAACTATGTAAAAATAATGTATTGATTTTTTAATTATACATGCACAAAACCAAATTTTTAATGTGAAAACTATGCTGGTCATTATTTAGGAGAGAGATTCTTTATGTAAATTCTCTAAGGAGCATTTCATGGCAGGCACTATACTAGCACTGGGTAACCCTTGGAGTAAATGGATGTTAGAAGCTTCATTTAACCCCTCAGGATGATAAAAAGTTTTTGTTATGATAAAAAATTCACTTTCTGAAAAATGGGAGGTAGTTCTTAAAAGCTAACCCTAACTAACCACTTCCATCTAGAAAATAGTTGAGCAACTGTGAGCTTTTCTTCCCCGCTAAAAAAAAGTTGCCAAATCTCAATATGGGAAGGAGAAACTCTCAGGATGGAGTTGGAGGTGAAGGAGAGGGAATGAGTGATTAAGTTTCTATGATCAGGCTGAAGTGAAGTCTGATCAGGCAGAAGGCATCTCTGGGTCTGACTGTAGGAACCTTGCTTAATCCAAAGGCTTTTCTGGAAGGCCAGCAATCTTTCTCCTTGAAAACGAAGGGGGAACCTCCATCACCAAGAGGTGACTCCAAACATAGCCAGCCAGCTACCATTCAAGGCTTCCAGAGCAATGGGAAGAGAAAGCAAAGAAGGGTGATTTTCCTTTTTCTTCCCTTATTCCAACACACCAGTATTTTCCAAAACACAAATGTGCTGCCACAAAACACAGCTGAGCCCGGCACCTACGGTGATATATAATTAATGACAGAGTGCTTCAGTTGCCCTTGAGTTTCACAGTCAGCCTTTCCTTTAGCCTAACTCCTCTTAGCAGCCAGAAGACTGCTACAAGTTGCTGGTCCCTGTGAAGTCTGAAGGGGTCCCGGAATTAACTTTACTGGAGCAGGTGTGAGCATTTGGGGACCAAGATGAGTCTTGCACAACCCCACCAGATATCTCCTCTCTTCAAAAATGTGGGTGCTGTGAAGTCTTCGGGATGAGAATAACTCAAAAAGAAGGCACCCAGTTCAGCGTCCTCTTTTTTCCCAGTTTTTTTTTTTTTTTTTCTTCCTTTAATTCATTCTGTAGTTTTCTCTCAAACACTGCCCACTCCAGCCAGTGCTAGGTGGTGGGCAGGGACACCTCTAGGGATATGGCCATAGCCTGGGAGTTAGCCTAGCAACCATACATCTAAGATGTGAGTCCTGGTGCTGGTGGGCGTCTCTGCTGGGAATAGCTTAAGGCGACTTCCAGCCACATCAAGTGCCAAGAAGCGGATGTACGAAGCCACGGCCTCAGACTCTGAGGTGGGCAGCCCTCCTGCTACAGCTTGGAGCTGCTGGCCGCATTTGCGGGGACCCAAAGTGGGTGGCCTGGGAAAGAAGTGCAGAGGCAGAGAAAGTACTTGGGGCAGGAGAATGTTCCACAAAGAAAATGTAAAGGATGGAGTGGGCGGTGACATCAGTCTTGCAACCATGCCATTCAGAAAGTGACTCTGCATGGGTTGACCCCCATCTGGGATGGGTCTTCCTAACTTTCTATTGACCTCTATGCTCCCACTTTCTCTAGCCACATTGCTCCCTCAGAATTCCCAAATGCAAGAGATTTTCTTCCATACTCAAAGGGCCTTCCCTTCTTTGGGACCCCGTGAACTCATCTCCACAACAAGCTCCTAAAGTACGAGCTGCCCACACTCGCCCACTGTGAGGATCCTAGCAGCGGTTGTTGAGTAGTGCCGCGCACGCACCCAGGGTCTTCCAGATTCCTCTGTCCCCTCGAGGTTGCTTCTGCTCACTCCGCACCACCATACCCCACCCCGGCCCGCCCGCCACCAACAACCCTACAATAAACCGGGAACTAAGCCGGGGTCTGCGTCCCAGAGCGCACCGGCTGGGGTCAACTCTTCACCACTGGAACACAGATCCTTGCCTCAATCAGAGGGAGCAGGGAGAGGGGAGGGAAGGGCAGACGGCGGGTACAGGGCAGGCAGGGACCAAAGGAGGCTAGACGCGGTGCGGAGCAAAGAGGTGGGCTGCAGGGGACGCAGAGAAACGGCGGGGCTGGCGCAGGGGGCGGGTGCCCGGGGCGCGTATTACCTTCGTCTTGCCCCCGCAGTGACAGCAGACGGTCCACAGGTACTTGAGCGTCCGCCAGAGCAAGATGATGAAGAGGCCCCCGAAGAAAGTCACCATGGAGGAGGCCAGGAAAGCCCACCACATGCGTTGGCCCCGGCTGTCGCACGGCACCTCCATGGTCACCGGGATGATGAGCGCATCCATCTTGGGCTCGTGGACCGAGGACGAAGAGGAAGAGGAGGAGGAAGAGGAGGAGGAAGAGGAGGAGGAGGACGCGTCTAGGCTGAGATGGTTCGCGTGGATATTGCTGCTCATTCTAAGACCGCTGCCTCCGCCGCCGCCGCCGCCGCCGCCGCCGCTGCTGCCGCCGCCGCCGCCGCCACCGTTTGCCATAGCTAGCAACGGGCGGCCGGCGCAGGGGCTCGGGGGAGCTCCTCCCGCCGCCAGCGCCACCCCGAACACCCATCAACAGCCATGTTGCTGCTACTGCTGCCGCCGCCGCCGCGGAGCGCGGGGAGGGGGGCGGGGAGGCGCCTGGGCTCGGGGCGATGTGCGCGACCTGGCGGGGTGCGTGGAGATATATACAGCCTAGCGCCGCCGCCCGCCCTCCCCCGGGCCGCCGGCCCGCCCGGGGGGGGAGGGGATGAGCGCGGGTGGCTCCCACTCCCGGACCCAGGCCCCGATAGCCCCCGGGGCTTCGCGGAGCACCGAGAACCCAGGGGGCGCCGCGGGCCGCCCGCGCCCGGGGTCTGTGCCGACCCGAGCTCCGTGCGCGCGATCCCGGCTGCCCTAGGCGCCGCCCGGCCCGCCTGGCGTGTGCCACTCGTGCGCTGAGCCCGGGCCCGGGGTCCCCCTCCTGTTCCCACGCCGCTCTCTGGTGATGAGACGCGACAGCTCGTTAGGATCGGAGAATCCGCGCCCTCCCACCCGGGCGTGCCCGCGCCACCCTTCCTCCCCCGGGCTGCACTGGGCTTCTGGATCGCCGCCTCCTGTGCTCGCGGGGCCGCGGCAGGTTGGCTGCGGCCGGCTGCCTTGCCTCCGCTGCCCCCTAGCCCGTGCTCTGAGGGGCCCCCTCGGGCCGGGTCTCCACTATCCAGAGCCTCTTCGGCCTCCGCTGGCTTCTTCTTCCTCTGTTTCTCCGGCTCCTCCTCGTCCCCGTTCTCGCAGCCCAAGCCTCTTCGGCGCGCGCCCCGCGCTCCCCGCAGCCGCCAGCAGTGGCAGCTGCAGCAACTGGAGCGGGCGCGGGCTCAAGCCTCCCAAAGCGGGAGGGGAGGAAGCTTACCGGGCTGACTCGCCAGGGCTTGGGGCTGAGTAGGGGCGGCAGGCCATTTGGAGGTGGCCAGGAACACGGTCCCCCACTTTCTAGGATACAGAGTATAGCGCCCCCAGCCCACGTGCAGGACTTAGTATGTGTTGCGGCCCTGACTAGGTTCAGCGGGGTACCCCAAGGGGGAAGCCACCAGGTTCCCCGGGTAGGCAGGTTTTCCCAAAGGAGTCCCTAATGAGGAGGGGAAGAGAGGCTGGCTGTCAACTCGATTACACGGGCTTATTGCCCTCAGATCCTCAGGCTTGGAAACTAAAGAAGACCCTAGCCAAGATTGATAGATACACCTGCTGACACAGTTCGCTTTTCCTAGGTGCCCCAGTGTGTGTGGCTGATGGACAGGGCCATCTGGAAGTCTGTTGGTGGTCTGTGACCTCTGATGGCAGCAGGTGGGTTTTTGTTGTTGGCTCTTTCTTTCTTTCTTTCTTTTGGTTTGGGGTTTCTTTTTTCCTCCTGTTTTCTTTATAAGGCTGCTGAAGAGAGCAAGCAGACAAGGATAACAGCAGTCTGGCTATTGGTATAGAACACGACTGAATGGACAGTGGAGTTCCTTAAAGGGTCTCTTCTCTGCTCTTTAGTCTATTCCTGTGGGAAGAGCAACTGGATGATGGGTACTCTGTATTCAGGCTTGCCTTTCTGTTTCAGTTTTCCCTTTTCTCCCCTGGAAGGGGAGAGTTGTTCAGCAACTCCTGTCCACCACTGTCCTGGAGTTCCCCTTTGAATGCATACAGACACCTATTTCCTCTAGCCACTTTTTCTCCAAGCTACCAGATGGACCACAACTTTTTCCTGTGCTAATTAAAACAAAGATGATCACTCTCCCCTCATTGCCCACAGTGATTTCCCCAGTTTCCAGCTCATTAGTTATAGCCTAATTGGAATTCTCAAGTTCCTTTCAACTCTTCCTGTAGTAAAATGGCCCAAGTGAGCCTCCTTACCTGAACAAGCTGTCTCCACTGAAATCATTGCTCAGCCACAACACCCTGGCCTTGGGATGCAGAAGAGGGTCTGGTGGAGCCCAAAATGTGTCAGACACTGAAGATATTTGAGTCTCAAATTGGTTGCTACATTCCTTGAGCTCAGTGCACATATCCATTAGAAAAGACTTAAGGCCAAAGTCATTGGGGAGGGGGGTTTAAGTAAAAGTTCTTAGGTGTGTGGTACCCTGCACCAGCACCTGCCCACCTCCAAAAAGAACAGTATATACAGGATGGATGATTTTTTAAAAAATGGCTCAATGGGTAAGGCCACTTGCCTCCAAACCTGACCACGTGAACTCGATTTCTGAATCTTACATAGTCAAGGGAATAAACTAACTCCTGTTAGTAGTCCTGTGTCCCATGTGTACACTAAGATACACACTTGTGTGCACACATATGTATGCATGCACATAGGCAAATAATTTGTGTTTTAAAGAAGAGAACTACAGATGGCATTTTCCAGAAAGAGAAATTGCCTCTGACTCCCCTTATATCATCTAGTGGTACCTCCAACATTGTCATCCAGCATCGCCATGTGAGTTCAGAAGCTGCTACACATTCCCATGTATGCAATTGCCCTGGGTCTTTTCAGCATAGGGGTGAAGTAGCTGAACTTAGAAACACTGGGGGGGAGGTACAAGTGACAGTGGACCTGAGATTCCTTTATTAGCCTTCTCAATAGCTGCCTTTGTGCTTTAACATATGCCAAGAGTTGGGGACTTTCCTTAACTTCAAGATTTAACATTTAAAAATATCTATAACCCAAATCAGTTAAAGACATATTCTGCCCTGTCCCCCTGGGGGTTAGAAAGCCTTCAGAATGTATTCCCACAGTAGCAAAAAATGAACCTTTGCAACCAATGGCCCCCTCTAGGTTCTTCCTAGTTAATGCCTACAACCTAAATCCCCCTGAAACACCAGTATCAAGGCTTTGTACAAGAGGTTAGTGGCCCCTGTGCCTTCTGTCTTCCCACATATGAAGTCCCCACCTGTGTTCCTTCTCCATCATCGCCACCATCATCTCACCATCCTTCTAAAGGCCTGCTAGAAGGCCTATGAGACAACACCCTTACCCCCAACTTCTTCCTGGTCTCTCACACACACATCCTTAACCTTGCTGACTAAAGTTTTCAGCATCTCTAGGGTCGACAGAAAGAAACCTTGACTTGCTCAGAACTCATCAGAGACCCTCACTGTCAAGGTCAAAATCCTACCATCCTGCAATTAATCACCTGCCCCTCACCATCTTCCTGGATTGCCTGACTGTAGGCACAGGATGAGAGTATTACCATCCACCAGGAGCAGATATCTCAAGCCTTTGCCCAGCTCTCACCAGCCACCTCATTATCCTATCACCTAACTGTTCCCATTTAGGAAGAGACTCTTCCTAGGCGGAGAGGAACCTCACATTCAAAGGGAACCTTGGATATCTCACACTTGTGCTATTTGTTTCTAAAACTGAAACAAAAACAGAAACCAGAGGCAAGGGAGAGAACTAGGTGAATAAAGTGCTTGCTGTACAAGTCTGAGGACCTTCGTTCAGATCTCTTGAAGCCACATAAAAGCCAGGCATGATAGTATGCTCCTGTAATCCCAGGGCTGGGAGGCAGAGAGAGTTGCAGATCCCAGAGGTTGCTGAACAGACAGTAGAACAAAGGAAAAAAGGGAGGGATGAGCTCCAAATTGAGTGAACAGACCCTGCCTTAAATATAAGGTGGACAGATGATTGAGAAAAACATGTGACAACAACCTCTAGCCTCCAAGCACTTCTGCACTGGGCAAGGACACACACACACACACACACACACACACCACACACACCACACACCACACACCACCCTATCCACCTCAAAGGATTATTTGGAAGAATGAGGGAGAAAACATACAGACTATGACACAAATGTCCCACAAATTGAACAAACTTGGACCAGGTCTTCTGGCCCCCATGCTTTGCTCAATGGTGTGCTTTGTGAGAAGAGGCAGGATGAGGATTCCTGCCTCCACTTTGCTGTTCTGCACACCCACACAGCCCCTAAGAAAGAAAGCTGGAGCAGGACCATGCAGGTCCTGAGCTCTTTGTAGCCTTTATATTGTCACTCAAAGGGCCTCAGTGACAGCGAGGCTGTTGCTGGTTTCCAGAGGGACAGAAACCATCCAGCCTGCATAGGATCTGTTGCCCACACCCACACATTGTCTTTTCACTCCCTCAATAGCCTGGGAAATGGGAAACTACAGAAATATCTACAAATATCCCCAGAGCATCTCAACCATCTGCGGGTGTGTCTATGTGATGGGAATTGAGGGCCATTGTACAAGAACTAAAAGCCAATATGAAAGTAGAAACTTACAGTAGGGGCCATTTATTTGTCTGTAGATACATTTAATAGCTTCATAGACTCTTTAGCAAATGCACATGTGTCTATGGCCACTTTCAGAGCAAGCCAGGGGTTTCAAGTCTATTAAGTATTCTAAGCTAGGCATTCCCTGTAGACTTAAAGGAAACACACAAAACTAAGTATAAACACACAAACTTAAAAGCGGAATGATTAAAGTCTAAAGAGAACGTGAAAGATTGTTAATGCAGATGTCAGCAGGGTAGAACCACTGTACTTTATTTTCTCCAGCCTGGACCCAGTCCTGACAGTCTGATTAAAAAAAAAAAAAAAAAAAAAAAAAAAAAAACATTGTGAATGGAGACTCAGAGATGCCTCTTTAAGTGATGTGGTGCCCTCTGGTGGTAACTTCTGGTGACTATTTCAATGGGGGCTGACTCATAAGTACATTTTAGACATGAAAATTCAAGGAACATTCCACAGTAAAACAAACAATATAGCCACAGAACTAGAATCATAAATTTGGATGGTAGTGGTCAGAGGATGCAAGGTGACTACAGTTAATGTTTGGTATACTTCAGAGTGGATGCTAAGGGTTCTGACCACAGATACACACAAGTGTAAGGTGATACATACCCTAATCAGCTTGAGTTAGCAAGCTCACTCCATGATGGACACATATCTCAAAGTATGCTACACACACACACACACATATATATATATATGTGTGTGTGTGTGTGTGTGTGTGTGTGTGTGTGTATATATATATATATATATATATATATATATGCATGCAATTTTTGTACATTTAAAAAATGTACACCTGGGGAAATGGCTCAGTAGTTAAGAGCATCTGTTGCTCTTGAGAGACCCTGCTTTGCTTCCCAACACACACATAATGCTTCACAACCATCCATAACTCCAGTTTTTGGGAATCCAGTACCCTCTTCTGGTCTCTGAAGGATCAACCACACAGTGGTCCCCATATATGCATGCA